CTCTTACGCTGACACCCACGGGATGATAATATGGGGTTGTAGATATTCGGAGACCGTCACTACACGGTAATCTAATATTTTTTTACAATAAATGATTCGTAAACACAGCTTTATTATAACAAAATATTAAACTAATGCCTTTAACAATAAATTATCACAAACAAAATATGAAAATAACATTTTTTTTAAATAAATAATTCATAAACACAGCTTTGATATAACAAAATATTAAACTGAAAAAATATTAAATGCCTTGGCATATGGTCTGACACAACTGGTTACTTCGCCTACGCGGATTACAGATGTGGAGGATCATACACCTTCCCTGTTGGACCTTCTGCTGACCTCTCATCCGGACGGATATTAGGTTTCCGTCGATGCCCTTCTCGGCTCTTCGCACCGATGATTGGCGGTCCATCACTGTGCGATTTAGAAGATGGTTTCTTCCTCGGACAACTTCCTTGTTGAATCGATTACCACCAGCGATTTTTCCAGACCGATACGACTTAGGGACCTTCAAGAAAACAGCCTACTCCTTTTTAAAAAGCCGGCAACGCATCTGCAATTCCCCTGGTGTTGCAGTTGTTCATGGGCGGCGGTAGTCACTTACCATCAGGTGAACCGCAATATAAGAAAATAAGAAATATTTTTATAATAACCCTGCCCCCTCTATTGTATATATAAAATGGCCATCTATAAAATATAACTATATTAAAATGAATAATATACGTGATCAGAAAATCAATATATTGATCTTTCTAAAGGTCTAGACATAGGCTGTTATTCATTATTAATTAATACCTTCCCGCTTGGAAAAAGCTTACAATATTTATATTAAAATACCAGATACAAGGACTTCGCTCACTCACATTTTTTAAAAATGTGGGGGAGGCACAGCGCTTCACAGACGCCAACGCCGTGTGCGGTGAGCGCCAACCAACCAACCAACGCGTTCCACCCGAAAAGGAACTAGATTGGGACTAGACAGTAGTCCACAGCAAAATAACTGGCGAAAAATAAAAAGAGGGCTTGGTCCCTTGTTATTCATAACAGCTTTGACAATAGAAAATATGAAATAATATTTGTATAATTAAATAAGTGATTCATCACAACACAGCTTCGACAATCGCCTCATAGAAGAGATATTTACCATAGTTGCAACGCTTGGCAAGCGAGTTGCCAACCGCAGCTTTTAAATTTAGTCTTTAAATCTTCTGATTTGTTTCCCTCTTTCGCCTCTTTAGACACCCACGGGATGATCTGAACTGGTGGATATTCTTACTGCGCCACACACAAACTAACATTTTTACAATAAACAATTCATATAACACAGCATTCACAATACAAAGTATGAAACTAATATTTTAACAATAAAAGATTCTTAACAGCTTAGACAATACAAATTATGAAACCAATATATCTATAATAAGTTATTCTTAACAACCTTTACAATACAAACTATGAAAATATTTAAATGAAACTAATTTTACGGATTTTATCGCGTATATTAACTTATTTTACATTCCCGACGTTTCAAGCACTTTACAGCACCCATGGTCACGGGGGGGACTGAGGTGTATGACGTCCCAATGTCATAGTTAACCAATGTCAGAGGTGTCACTGACAAGATTGGCTACATCTTGAAGCGTGCTTCCATTAAAACATATTTCAAGCCGCCGAAGAAGATTAGTCAGTTTTTACCATCAGTCAAGTGTAATATTCCTCTGCAAGATGCAGGAGTGTACAAGCTGGATTGTGAATGTGGTCTCTCTTATATAGGACAAACTAAAAGATCCATAAAAACCCGCGTTAAAGAACACATAGCTGATGTGAAGAATAGACGCTCCGGGAAGTCTGCAGTCTGTGAACATGTACAGGATCGCCCCCGTCACTACATTAGATTTGATAGACCACAAATCCTCGCTAAAGAACACCGATTCCTTCCAAGGATGATTCGCTTGGCTATTGAAATCAAAAAACATCCTAATTTCAATAGAGAAGATGGCTGGGTGCTACCAGCTGCTTGGGATCCCATAATTAATAAAATTAAATCCCAACCCAAGTATACAACTGCAAGACTTCATGATACTGTAAGTTCATACTGCGTAGATCGGAACAAAAATTAATAATTTTAATCTGGAGGTAGCCGTGGTTAACTATGACATTGGGACGTCATACACCTCAGTCCCCCCCGTGACCATGGGTGCTGTAAAGTGCTTGAAACGTCGGGAATGTAAAATAAGTTAATATACGCGATAAAATCCGTAAAATTAGTTTCATTTAAATGTGTAGTGTTCGCGTAAATATAAGAAATCACTATATGAAAATATTTTTTATGAGATACGATTCTTAACAGCTATAACAAAACAAAGTACAAAAATAATATTTATTACAATAAATGATCCTAAACAACTATAACAAAACCTTCGCTGCGAATGTCATCTTTTCGGTGATCTTCTCAAATGCTACTTGATTACTAATTTATTCTACATTTGATAGACGAGTCCTAAAATCTTTTATAGTTTTTCTAGACTTCTTTAATTAAAATTTTAAGTCTTCTCGCATGCTTTTGTAACAACTCCTAATTCTTAGGGTAGTATCCGATTTCGTCTGTTAATCTGAAAATGTTTAATTTATATATTAGCTTTTTCAAATTGGAATTTAGGATGTAGAAATTTGCAATAAATGTTGTAAAATTATATATTTTAGTATAGGATATTCATATACTAGTTTCATACTAAAATATAAGGAATTAAATATTAGATAGTTTTTTTTTTTAAATGTTACTTCCACACTAGGATTTTCTCCTGTATCGTGTGGTCATTTTACATACATAATTTTCACAAGGACTAACATCCAGACCCGGGACAATTATTTGTAGGCCATACAAATACTTGTTCCGTGCGAGATTCGAACCCACGGCCCTTAGCGTTGTGACTTATTGCTAAGTCACTTCGCCACGAAGCCGCGAAAAACCTTATACAAAAAAATTATTTGTAATTATAAAATAAAAAAAAAATTAATGTATGTACACAAGAACAAACATAGTTTTATGTAAAAATAGTGATGTACATTCTGTAAATACTAGAAACAAGCACAAGTTAGGTATACAAGTTACTCGAGTCCAAAGAGCCAGTAATTCCATCATGGATTCATGGGGCAATGTATACACTTAGGCCCCAGAAAATATGCAGGCCTTATCTATCAAAAAGTTTTAAATTTTTATTAAGCATAAATTGTTTAATATATAATTTAAAGATTTATTATGCTACTAAAGTGTACATGATTGATAAATAACCCCTGGCAATGGGGTGATCACTAACATGAATAGAATAGAATAGAATAATTTTTTATTCAATATTGATTATTACATAATACTTATTGAAAGCCATTTTTTATTTACCACTGGTTCGTTGCATGCTGTTTCTGTTTTCATACTAATTGTATACAATACTTCAAAAAATAATTTAGCAGGGATGGTAGATATGACAAGGATATAGAACGACGAGTGAACGCAGGAAATAGAGTGAATGGGGCTCTACACGCTATTATGAGGAGTCAGAATGTGTCAACTAAGGCACGTATGGTAATTCATAATGCTGTGTTAGTCCCTACTTTAATGTATGGTAGTGAAAGTTAGGTCTGGGAGAAGAAGCATCAGAGTAGAATAAATGCTGTAGAAATGCGGTCCTTAAGGAGTATGCTAGGGCTGAATCTGAATGACAGGGTGAGAAATAGTGTGATAAGACAAAAGTGTGGTTTGCAAGATGACGTAGTGACAAGAATTAAGAAAGGAATGCTTCGGTGGTTTAGTCATGTAGAAAGAATGAACGAGGAAAGAGTGACAAAGCAAATTTATGTTGCAGAAGTGAACGGCAGGGTCGGGAAGGGACGCCCTAGACGAAGGTTTATCGACCAAATCGGCGATATATTAAAAATGGGCCAGATTAGGAGCACCCTTAACCGACGAGCGTGTATGCGTAGATATATGGATGTAAAAGAGGCGAGAGAGGTGTGTCAGGATCGCGCCAAATGGCGGTCCGTAGTCTCTGCCTACCCCTCTGGGTGACAGGCGTGAGTGTTTATGGATTATGGACTTCAAAAAAAAAGGCCCACAGGGTTTCTTGCTGGTTCCTCCAGGACAAAAGCTTTTTTGGAACCAGTAGTAGTAATAGTAAAAATTTACTTTCAATAAGAATTACATGTAATGTATATGTTAAAAATAATTCTATGGCATTCTATTCTTATATACTATAACTTTATTAACATTTGTCTGTGATGTTGAAGGCTGGTCATGTGGATGCAGACTGGGCAGTAAGTCAGGAAAGGGTGTTTTGAGAAAATGGTAATACACTTAAATAGCTACGTAAAACAGTAGTTAGTACAATACTGCTCTTTAACTAAGGTTTTAATTTTTTTTTTAATTACTTCATTGCACAGTAAAAGATGTTATTGCTTTTAAAAGTAGCATTTTTATATTTTTGTTAGAGCATGATGAGCAGTATGCATTAAATAGTGGAGAAAGGAACAAAAATGTAGTTAACTTACATGTTTTATTTATAAAACTTTAGCAGTGAGATCAAAAATCACATATTTGTTGTTCTAATTATTTGCCATAACAATTCTTAAAAATAGAAAACTTCTCTAAAAATATACATCTTAGCAAAACTTAAAGACTTAATTATAGAGACCAAAAATTATAATGTTTATAATTTTTGGTCTCTATAATTAAATTTGGCACAAAATTATTCTCATTAACTTACAAACAACATGAAAAAGCTTTTTAACATAAAATTGTTTCAAAAGGACTTCACCAAAAAGCACCTTAATGAAAAACAATACTTAGATATAATTAAGAATCACTGATAAGCCAACTTTTAGAATCAGTGTTTCCTGGGAGATTATACCAACTTATACTGTTTCAAAAACTAGCCTACATTTTATCACATTCACCGATCATATCTATTATCATTTAATTACAGTGTTTAATTTTCTGTGCCTTATTCCTCGTTTGCTAAATTTTCAACATTATTATTAACACACAACTTTTCCCAAAAAAGTCTGCAATTAGCAGGCATTAATGAACACAGATTTTGAATTATCTTTTTCATTTCGTTAGTAATCCTCTTTCAGAAAGTCTAGTACACGGTTAAGGTATTTCTTTTCATTTGTGGATTTTCACTGGTAAAAAAGATTACTGGAAGTATTCTCTTTGTGGCTAATTTTATACAGAAGCACAGAATACATAATAGTACAGGGCACAGAAAATTCACTCCGTAAAATCATTTAAATAAATAGCGACTCTAGCTATGCATGAAAAAGCACCAGCATCCAAATAAAAAAGAATCATCAAAATCTGTTCTCCTAAAAACAGTTCTAAGGTAACTTTCAAAAAGTTACCTTAGAACTTGGTTGAAAAAAGAAATAACTGACATACTGCTCTCTCGGTTACCACGGCAGTATAGCAGTGGCATAACAGTCGATACTATAATTTTTCTTATGGATGCCATACACGATCAAGTTTACCGTCAAGTTTGCAGCGCACTTGAAGCGGCGTCCAGTTTGCAGTGCATCCATATAGACCACTCACGTTCAAGTTCGCCGTCAAGTTTGCATGATGCCGTATCAGTTGAAACCATGGCGTCACTAGTGACGGACGACGATGCTTTAGCCATCCTAGGCTTATTGCTCTCTCGGTTACCACGGCAGTATAGGCACAAATTATAAAGTTGTTAGCACAGAGTACATTATATATAGCATCTTTCAGTATATATAAAGGTACTCTGTGATATATAGGGACTGGTATAGCTGATATGGTTGTTAGGAACTGTTGGAACTGTTGTTGTTGTTTTTATTATTCGCTCGAAAGAGCAGGCAAAGGAACTATGCCATACAGCCTTGTTTTTTTTATTTTGAGTATATAGAATTTCACTGCTTCATAATATGTTGATGCGTCACATTGTGCAGGCCTTGGGAGCTTTTGACGGCAACTTGAGCCAGCAGACAGCTGACAGTTGGCGATGTTATCTAAAAGGCGTCTATGCAAACAAACAGCTTATCTTGAGAATCCATCACCATCAGAGCACTTGTTTCACCGTTTCCACTAATAGTTCACATGCGTAGACAGTTAATACATAAAATTGCACCACTTTTACATATCAAATTCCACTTCAAACTATTATTTAAACTATAATACAGGAGCAGCAAACCGCCGCCGGTCAAGTTCCCGCCAAAACTCCCTTTTAGAACTGTTATTTGACATTTATTAGAAAGACAGAAAACAGCGTTCAGATTATGAGGCGTGATCGTTTTAATTTTAATCTTGTGATTTTGTTTACAAAATATTACAAAAAAATATTCATATTATGTCATAATATGAATATTTTTTTGCACTCTAGTAACATATAAAAAAATAATTGTTAATTTAATGGTAAATATCATGTTGAAGTAATTATGGATGCGAAAGAAACAAGAGAAAGGTATCACAGCCGCAGCGTATGGTGCCAAACTGCCTAAAGGAAGGTGGTGATGAATGTAATACATAGTATAATACGCATATGACGGCACCTGCACCGTTGTAGGTGCGGTGGCGTCGGTCTAGCTAGACAGAATTCTTGTAAACGACACGTGTACCGCACACCTGCAGCATTGCACCTGCGTTGCCACCCGTCCTGCTTGTATAAAACGGACGGAGCGGCCGTCGTTAAGACAGTCTTGGCTCTGACGTGGAACGGTGCGCTTGTCGTATTGCGTTACTAGTTTATCCTCGATTCGTTGGATAATTAATTCGTGTAAACGAATTAATTATTATTCCTAACTACAAAATCAGTCTCAGTACTATACCCACTATACTTCCTACACATACATATTTATTATTTGCTTAAAAGGATACTCCGGCGACTAATGTAATTGTAATTGTAATTAGGCAGTAAAGTCCAAGGGGGAGGCGTTGGCCGTTAGTCTGGACATTGCGAAGGCCTTCGATCGGGTTTGGCACAAAGCGCTTCTTTCGAAGCTCCCTTCCTATGGGCTTCCCGAGAAATTGTGCAATTGGATCACCAGCTTCCTTGCAGATCGGAGCATCAAGGTCGTTGTAGACGGTGCATGTTCTGACTACAAGCCTATTAACGCTGGTGTTCCACAAGGCTGTGTGCTATCACCAACGCTGTTTCTTCTGCATATCAATGATATGTTGCTAACTGGTAACATTCATTGCTATGCGGATGACAGCACTGGTGATGCGCTATACACCGGCCGTGCCAATATTTCTCGGGAAAACGTCGCCGAGTACCGGAACAAACTTGTGTCTGAAGTCGAGTCTTTGCTGAACAAAGTCTCGGATTGGGGGCGACTAAATCTAGTCCAGTTTAATCCTCAGAAGACACAAGTTTGCGCGTTTACCGCTAAAAAGAACCCCTTTGTCGTATCTCCTCAGTTTCAAGGCACTCCCCTTCTTGCCTCAGCCAGTATCCAGTATTTGACGGCTCCGTGGCGCAGTGGCTTAGCAATGAGTTGTTGCGCCGGGGGCCGCGGGTTCGAATCCCGCACGGAACAAGTATTAGTATGGCCTACAAATAATTGTTCCTGGTCTGGATGTTTGTCCTCGTGCAATGTATGTTTGTAAACTGCCTCCACGATACAGGAGAAAATCCTAGTGTGGGGGTAACGTTTTATAAAGAGAAATAAAAATAAATAAGAGAAATAGTATCGGTATCCTCGGAGTCGACATATCGAGTGACGTGCATTTTCGTGGTCACTTGGAAGAGAAGGCCAAATTGGCCTCTAAAAAGCTTGGTGTGCTCAGCAGAGCGGGACAGTATTTCATGCCGGCACACCGCCTGCAGCTTTACAAGGCGCAGGTTCGGCCTCACATGGAATACTGTTCCCATCTCTGGGCAGGGGCTCCCCAGTGCCAGCTCCTTCCACTTGACCGCATCCAGCGCAGAGCGGCTCAAATCGTCGACGACCGAGCACTTTCCGATCGGCTCGATTCATTGGCACTGCGAAGAGATGTTGCATCCCTTTGCATTTTCTTTCGCATCTACCATGGGGAGTGCTCTGAGGAATTGTTCGGATTAATCCTAGCCGCCAAATTTCACGAACGCACATCGCGGCAGAACTCCCGATACCATCCACACCATCTGGATGATTGGCGGTCCACCACTGTGCGATTTAGAAGATGTTTTCTTCCTCGCACGACATCCTTGTGGAATCAATTACCATCGGCGAATTTTCTGGACCGATACGACTTAGGGACCTTCAAGAAAAGAGCGTACTCCTTTTTAAAAGGCCGGCAACGCATCTGCAATTCCCTCCCTGGTGTTGCAGTTGTTCATGGGCGGCGGTAGTCACTTACCATCAGGTGAGCCGCATGCTCGTTTGCCCCTCTCCTATATAAAAAAAAATATAAACCAAATCTTTTTACAGAAATAAATTTTATTATTAATGGGGTATATATATAGTTTTGTCATCTGTTTGGGCTGTATAAATATATAAATGAGAATGATTAATATACATAAATATCAATAATATATAACAAATACATAGAAATATATACATAAATAAAAACCTAACCAGATGGAAGCCCTCGGCAGGGGAGACAAACGGCCGAAGGTTAGGGTAAAAGAGAAAGAAACCGGCGGACGATGCAGTCTGTATCAAGGAGCACCGCCTTCTGCATTTGAGCCCTGAGCTATCCTTCACGAAGTTCCAGTCGCCTCAGATGACCCGAGAGGCTGACCGGGATTAGCTCGTGCGCAAAAACGACCACAGGAATAATTTCGACCGGCATACCACACCACATATTGGTTACCTCATGAGCCAGGTCCAGATATTTGGTATGCTTATGTTTCATCTTTTTTCTAGAGGTTCTCGTCATAAGTAATGGTAATGTAGACCAAAAATGTTCTTGACAGTGCCAGGTCTATCAGCACAGTATCAGGCTTTTTTGCAAGAACAGTCCTGTCTGTGACGATGGCCCGGTCCCAGTAGAGTCTGGCACGGTCATTTTCGAGCACGACTTCCGGCAAGTACTTATAATAAGGTGGTTTCTGATCCACGAGATCATATTTCATAGCGAGCTCCTGGTGTAGAATCGTAGCAACTAATTTGTCTGTATAAATACTGAGAGTTAGAAAGCGCCGAACAACAGATTACATGCCTAAGTGACTCACCGGAATAGCGACAAGCTCGACAGATGTCGACGGTGCCCATCCCTTAGGATGTATCTCCGATAGTTGTTGCTCTTAATAACCTGATCCTGTATCGCACAGACAAAACCCTCGGCTTCCACAAAGAGGTCACCGAAACGTAGCCAGTGGAGGGAGGTGAACGTGTCTACGAAAGGCTCATGTAGAGCCTTGTTAGAACCTTCCATGGAGCTCCTTCTCCTTCCATACAGTCTCACAGTCGACTCTGTACTACCGGACCTTGCCATTGTTCGTTGGCTAAGGATAGAGGGGTAGCCCCTTTATCACAAGAAATGACGTCCTTATAGAATGGATCTTTATCGAGTTTGGTGTTGATACGTATTTTTACAGAAAAGTTACACTATTATAAGCACACACACAAAGTTTCAACATGCGGAAACGCGTAATTTTTGAGAAAAGAATTATTGAAAATCAATTATTCTTGCAATGTTTATGTCTAATCCTACCATAAAACTGGCGCCATTTTGTAATGTCATTGTCGACGTCAATAGGGATGTCGATTCTTTCCGAAAAAGGTCGATTTTTAAATCGATTCAAATCGTAAGCTGATGTATCGGTTCACAAAAAATCGATTTCTAAAATATCTATATTTTTTTAATGTTTCTATTTATAATGTAAATATTAATCCATTTTATGAAAAACAAGAAAGATACCATGATAAATGATCTCTTATTGAAATTTGTTTTATTTAACAGTACCTATTAGGGCAGATAAGAAATAAAATAGGTTAGGTTCAACTTATGTCAAAGAACCGAATTGATTGACCACGACTCCACCTGGTACGAGTCTGTCCTACCCCTAGAGTGGTTTTATAGAGCCGGAGGCGCGTAGGCTGCTCTTCCCGCAGCGCCGGATACGTAGCAGCCTCAAAATAGATACAGAAATCCTTATGAATCAGTCCCCTTATTTTTTTATGATGAAGGGGATTTTTTTCTCATAAAATGGATTTATATTTACATTATAAATGCAAACATGAAAAAAATATGGATATTTTAGAAATCGATTTTTTGGGAATCGATACATCAGCTTACAATTCGAATCTATTTAAAAAATCGATCTTTTTCGGAAAGAATCGACATCCTTACTGACAATAATAATAAAAATGGCGTCAGTTTCACGGTAGGAATTGACTAAATATTGCAAAATGATTTGATTTACAATATTTTTTTCTCAATAAGTACGTGTTTCCGCATATTGAAACATTGTGTGTGTGCTTATAAAAATGTAATTTTTCTGTAAAAATACGTATCAACACCAAACTCGACTGACGTCAATGAAAAGTCGTACCCAATAATATATTGTATGATACATATATACAAATTATTTGAACAAAAACTTTTAACTTTTATGATGATAATGTCTCTGAATGTCTCCAAGTTTCCAATAAAATGAATTTAGTTGTAATAAAAAAAAATTACTTACAATTAGTCACTAAATTGTATAATTTCGTTTGCTGCGGCTATATTATGGTTGTAGTACAGGTGGGTAGGCTCAACAGGGGAAGGACCATGCTCTCACAGAATACCAGTGTAAAATAGTAGCTTAACACTGCTGTGTTTTGTATGGCGAGTTAGAAAACTGGAGACCCATTTCACTGGAAACGAGGCATTCAAACTTAGTCCTCATGGGTGACAACGTATCTGCATTTTGATTCGTAATCGAGGATAAATGTAGATGTCTATGGGCCACAGCAACCACTTACCATCAGGTGGATTGTGTGCTCGTTTGTCACACTCATCCTATAATTTTTTTAATTATAGTAATCTAGACTTCTTTGGTGGTCCTATATAACATTAAAAAAAAATCTATTCTTAAGGGTGGAAAAATAGAGAATGAAGATTTAAATGCTACTAGACAACATTCTATTTGTTACCTTGAACTTGTGATGTTCCTTAGATAATTCAAAAGGGTTATATAATTATATATGTGGTAGCTAACTAGCTAGATATTCGATCGATAGAAACTAGGTATTCGATCTTAGTCCTCAGGGTTGACATCGCATCTGCATCTGCATTCTTAATCGAGGATAGATGTAGATGTCTATGGGCCACAGCATGCACTTACCATCAGGTGGAGTATGTGTTCATTTGTCACCCTTATTTTACAAAAAAATAAAATAATAATAACTGAACAAAAAGAACAAAACAAAATTACACACAATAGGTTATGAAGCTATGCAATTCTTTTTTAGTTTGAAAGTTGGTTGGTACTTCCTATTAAAAGGTTATTTGATTTAATGATTATGTTAATATTTTAAATTAAACAACTAATCACGACTTTTTAATTAAACAATCTATACCTTTAAACACTGGACTGAAAGCTGGTGCTTCTCATGTGGTACCATATAAATTTCATCAAGGTCTGACCAGTAGTTCTTGAGTTGTTCTTAATAATTTATATTGAAGTCGGTTGTACAAATTTTTTAACTTTATTTTTTACCATTGGACAACTAGATGAAGGACAAGTCTCTGAGCATTTGTTGTTGATATTTCACAAGACTAGTGAAATGGAAATAAGCAAAGTAGTAAGTAAAGTGCTTCATCAGTCAGCTTTCTTATCTTTCTGATAGCGAAATTTGTAGAATTTAATTTTGAAGTTAGTTCATTCATATGTCCTTCCAACTAAAGCCTCGAAGCAGTGGAAATTTTGAGAAAATGGTTAAGCTTTTGAAATCTAAATTATTATCTTGTAAATTAATTATGTAGGCCATTCCTTGGGAGAGGAATGGCCTACATAATGTGCAGTTTCGTGGTCACTTGGAAGGGAAGACCAAATTGGCCTCTAAAAACCTTGGCGTGCTCAGCAGAGCAAGATAGTATTTCATGCCGGCACATATCTTGCAACTTTACAAAGCGCAAGTTCGGCCTCACATGGAATACCGTTCTCATCTCTGAGCCGGGGCACCTCAGTGCCAGCTCCTTCCTCTTGACCGCATCCAGTGCAGAGCGACTCGAATCGTCGACGAACAAGTTCTTTCTGATCGACTCGATACACTGGCACTGCATAGGGATGTTGCATCCCTTTGCATTTTCTATCGAATCTACCATGGGGAGTGCTCTGAGGAATTGTTCGGATTAATTGCAGCCGCCAAATTTCACGAACGCACCATCCTCACCATCTGGATGCTTAGCGGTGCATGACTGTGCGTTTTACTAGAAGTTTTCTTCCTTGTACAACTTCTCTGTGGAATTGTTTACCACCGGCGATTTTTCCAGACCGATACGGTACTTAGGGACCTTCAAGAAAAGAGCTTACACATTTCTAAAAGGCCGGAAACGCATCTGCAACTCCCCTAGTGTTGCGGTTGTTCATGGGCAACAGTAGTCACTTTGTCACTTACCATCACGTGAGCCGCATGCTTGTTTGCCCCCTCTTTTATAAAAAAAAGGACTATGTTCAGCAGTGGACTTGTGAAGGGCTTTTCATCATCATCATTATCTATGATGATGATGCATCATAGATGATGATGATGCTGATGAAATTGATTCCAGCTTTCTCTGGCAAATGAGACAGTGTAAACTGTAAACATTTTGTTTTTCCTATAATCAAAAGCAAATTACTGCAGCACTGTAAAGGCTCAACCAAATATTGGATACTGTTTCCAAATAGTTTTCAGTAAACAAAGTTGTTTCTTTTAACTTTAAATAATATTGAGGTATCATCAGCAAACAGAACTATTTCAGACATTTTTTGGACCAAACAAGGAAGATCATTTATGTAGACCAAGAACAAATATGTTACCAAGCATTGACCCTGAAGGACACCCAATTACATGTCACAATTACACTACACTGTTAATTGCAACCGTTTGCTCTTGGTTTGAGATATATAATTATAATAATTATATCTTTAAAAAAAGTTAAAAACCGACTTGAAATTGCTAAAAAGGAAGTTATTTATTTGCTGGTGGAATTTATTCTCCAAATTTATATGGGAGCACCTTTAAAGTATAAGCTATTTAATAAAAAAAGAATCATTAAAATTAATTCACAATCATCGAAGATATTGCATACCATACATACAAAAAAAAACATAAAACACTCAGATTGAGATCCTCCTCCTTTTTGAAGTCTAATGCCACAGTATTTAAGTTAGTTAATTAAAATTTTATGATCTACAGATATCAAAAGCCAATGAAAAAAAAGAAATTTGAAAGATCACAGAAGACACTGAAAGTGACATGGTAATCTTCCCCATGGGTGTTGAATGAGACAACAGAGGGAAATGAAACAGGACATATGCAACAGCATCTTCCTGATAACAACTTCAAAATAATAAAAACTGTAGTTGACAACCCAATTGCCAAGCACAGCAACAATGGCAAATATCTATTAGGCAATCTATCGGTGAGGTCTATGTTCGGTTTAACAAATTTTATTTCTCATAAGAACATACAATGGTTCACTTATAATAAGATACAAAGTAATTATTATAATTTGATAGTATTATCACATCTACCTCTAGTGCTGGAAGCGATATAGTCTTAGGTTATTCACTTATACATATTAGGTACCATGTGTTAAAAAGATTCTGAAAGTTCTGAAAGTTCAGAAGATGTTCATCATGCATTGAAGCATTGGGTGCAAAAAGGGCGTATCTCGGAAAAATACATTTCGAGAAAATTGTAAAAAAAGACTTTATAGTCTCAAACTTTTTAATGTTTATAGTATGACTCCTATATACTTGATTATTCATTTGTGCTGTGATTTAATTTAATGATTCAGATATTATTAGCATTTTACAATACTTAGAAGATATTGAAAAAAAAATTTTTTTCACATGTGTTATCCGCCCTTGTTGCACCCAACCCGTAAATAAATGGGGCATTTAGTTTATTACTGGTTTTTAAGACTATAAATAACAACTATTTTAGATTCTTATATGAATTAGTTTTATTTGAAAGTAAATAACAATAATATAGTTAATAGAATCAGGTGTTACTTTGTGGAAATCCATTATATTAAAGTTGGTAAAAATTATCTTGCGTACATCCGTTCGATAAAATAAAATCATGTGCCTTACCTAGTTTATAGAGCACCTCCCGCCCTCCCTCAATTGCGCGCACTATCCCCGTCACAACTAATCCCAGCACCACTACTCCCAACACCACTACACTACGACCACACACTTTAAAACGTGGTAGAGCCATGCTGCAGCTATATTAGTAGTATACTTGTAGCAAGAATGGGTCGGCTCGACCGGGGAAGGGCCACGCTCTCCCAGAATACCAGCGTAAAATAGCAGCCTAATGCTGCTGTGTTTCGTATGGTGAGTGTAGAGAACCGGATACCCTTTTTAATGGAAAAGAGGCATTCGATCTTAGTCTTCATGGGTGGCAACGCATCTGCATTTTGATTCGCAAACGAGGATACATGTAGATCTCTATGGGCTACAGCAACCACTTACCATCAGGTGGACTGTGTGCTCGTTTGTCACCCTATCCTATAAAAAAAAAAACTAGGAAAGACACACCACTTAACGACAAGTGTTTCGCCTCTACACGAGGCATCTTCAGGTAACGTAGACTCTGCGATGGCTGACCGCTAACCTTAGCTTATTATCGATAATCAAGGATATCACAACGCTTTTTGAAACAACACTTGGCGATATATTTAAAAACCTTTTTAGGTATCTTTTTACCCCGAGCCGATGTGTACTCTTCACCCAAATTTCTCTTCACCTTTCGCACATTTTTTTTCATGAATTTTCATTCTTTAACTTCTTTTTTCCTTTCTTTTTCGGGGGAACATATTCACTCTGGTCATAATTTGCATCATACTCACTAAAATTACAAATTTCAGATATTTTTTAACTTTAAATAAGTTTTTAAAAACTGCAGGTCATAAAATATTTGAAATTTAAACACACATTTGTAATCTATGCAACAAGGGCGGAGCGCCTCCTTCAAAATAAATGATTCCCACGCCGCCTAGAAGCGATAGATCGAAATGAGTTTTTGTCACCAAATACTAGATGACACATTACATATTTTAATGCAATAACATCAAAACGGACGTTGGGTACCGAACGCCCTTGTTGCACCCAATGCTTCAATTCTAATATTTAAACTGTAGATTATATATATTACATTTCATTTTTCTTAGTTATTCGGTGGGTGTCATAAGTGGCGACAGGGGAACACAAGCCAGGAGATGGGCAGCAGTATTATCCTAATAAAAAATAAAATAAAAAACTGCAGTTGCCATGATGTCTGCTATGGTAAAATTATGCCCCATGTGAGCAGGGGTGGCCTTTCTTTATCAGTGGACTTTTGAGATACACAAAGGTTTACAAGTATTTAAAAGTTTTAAGCATACAAAATAAACATTTGCACAAATCGTTTTATTACTGTACTAGCTGTTCCCCGCGACTTCGTTCGCGTGTTAGTGTTTTTATGTTTCTGCGCGGAACCCTGATTATTTTTCCAAAATAAAAGTAGCCTATTTTACTCCTTATGAAATCAGCTATCTGCCAGTGAAAGTCCCGTCAAAATCGGTCCAGCCGTTTCGGAGATTACCCGGAACAAACAGACAGACAGACAGACAGACAGACAGACAGACAAAAATTTTAAAAATTGTATTTTAGTTATAGGTATCGTATTTACTTTCATATGCATTTAGTAAAAAACTGTAATTTTGACATTACAAACAGACACTTCAATTTTATTTATTTGTATAGAGTATAGATTTAGTATAAAACAATAGACAATAAAACAAATAGGGTACTAAAAAAAAAACCCATCATTAAACAATGTTATGGTACGACTTTCCATTGAAGTCTGTCAAGTTTGGTGTTGATACGTATTTTTACAGAAAGATTACATTTTTATAAGCACACACATGAAGTTTCAATATGCGGAAACATGTACTTATTGAGAAAAAAATATTGTAAATCAAATAATTTTGCAATATTTAGTCAATTCCTACCGTGAAACTGACGCCATTTTTATTATTATTGTCAGTAGGGATGTCGATTCTTTCCGAAAAAAATTGATTTTTTAAATAGATTCGAAATGTAAGCTGATGTATCGATTCCCAAAAAATCGATTTCTAAAATATCGATATTTTTTTCATGTTTGCATTTATAATGTAAATATAAATCCATTGACGTCGACAATGACATTACAAGATGGCGCCAGTTTTATCGTAGGATTAGACATAAACATTGCAAGAATAATTGATTTTCAATAATTCTTTTCTCAAAAATTACGCGTTTCCGCATGTTGAAACTTTGTGTGTGTGCTTATGCTGTCCCATGTGACATAAATACCGACGAGAATATTTTTAGTACATCAGTGGGGGGAGCAATCGATTGTTTTTCAACTCTAAATCTTTCCCGCAAGCAAATTTACAAAAAATTAGTCAATATTGATGTAACGAAGGGCACTGGGAGTGATAATATTTCACCATTGTTTATTTCACGATGTGCGTCATGCCTGGTGGAGCCTTTATTTATTATCTTTAATAACTCATTAAGTTCTGGGGTTTTTCCCAAAGCTTGGAAGGTTTCTAAAGTGGTGCCAATTTATAAGGCAGGTGATGCTCAGATCATTAGTAACTACAGGCCTATTTCCATATTGTCCTCATTAGCTAAAGTATTCGAGTCTCTAGTCTGCCCTATTCTTCAAGCGTACTTCGACAAGTATTTAAACGACAACCAGCACGGCTTCACAAAAGGTAGGTCTACTAATACTAATTTAGTTACATATGTGGAAGACATTGTAAGTCGCATTGATGGCAATAAACAAGTAGACGCAATATATACAGACTTCAGCAAAGCCTTTGATAGAGTAATCCATCGACGGCTTCTGGCAAAACTATCTGCATACGGAATAGGGGGTTCTGTTCTAGCTTGGTTCGAATCGTATCTAAGTGAACGCTCTTTCTATGTAGTCGTTAATGGTTTTAGCTCAGAGCTACGAGATATCACTTCTGGTGTTCCGCAAGGTTCACACCTAGGCCCTATTCTCTTCAATATCTTCGTAAACGATATACCTAATTATATGCAATACTCATCCCCTTCGATGTTCGCAGATGACCTAAAAATTTGGAAAAATCATTGAAACACAAGATGATGTTTTGCATTTACAAAAAGATCTTGACGCGCTAGTGAAATGGTGTCAGACGAATGGAATGGAGCTCAATATCAATAAATGTGTTCACATTAAATTCACTAGGAAATTGAATCCTATTCCATCCATCTACAGCATCAATGGGATTCGATTAGGAGAAAGGGCAGTAGTAAGGGATCTGGGGGTGCTTATGGATAATAAAATGACATTTGTCCCACATATTGACTACATCATAGGCAGGGCGTCCAAGATGTTGGGTTTTATTATCAGGAACGCTAGGGTATTCAAACGCCATTCCTCAAAAATTGCGCTATACAATAGCTTGGTTAGATCGATCCTTGAGTATGGAAGTGTAGTCTGGCGTCCACATTATGCTACTCACACACTTCGTATTGAACGCATTCAAAAACGATTAATAAAACACTTGGTGTTCTCACACTTCTGGCATAAAAGATTTAGCCCCTACAAGGACCTACTAGACTTTCTAAAGATGCAGAGCTTGGACAACCGCAGGGATATACTTGACCTATCCTTCTTTTTCAAGATAATAAGATATCAGTTGCATTGTCCTGCACTCCTGATGAAATTTAACTTTAAAGTTCCATCACGAATGCCTCGTAAGCCCATCGAACCTCTCTCTCGTCCATTTCGCAAAACAGTTTTGGGAGCCAATTCACCGGTTTCCAGAATTTCCCAACTATATAATAAGTGCGGTGGGTCAATAGATGTTAATGTTATGTCTCTAGCTAAGTTTAAGGCCACAGTAAACCATACACTATTTAAGTAACTAGGTGTAAGTCATTGTTTCATATACCTACATAATATTATTTTGTTCTATTCTAAGTTTTTGTATTTAAAAAAATGCAAAAACTTATAATGGAGCGGAGCAGGATGATGTTATGTAGGTGTATACATATGCATAATATTATTTTGTTCTGTTCTGAGTTTTTGTATTTTTTTTTTTGTTGTTTTTCACTAGGTAACTTTTTAGTAACTTGAAGCATGTGGTGTATACCTTTAATTGATTGTACAATTAGTATATAAGTGGATGTGTATTTACTATTTCTGCATTGTTGTAACAATCGTTGGTGTACTTAAATAAATAAATAAATAATTAACGTCACTTACCGGGTATTGCACTCCCCGTTTGCCCCATTTCTTCAAAAATTCAAGCTCCTTCGAAACACCAAAATATCACGAAATAATGTTGTTTAAATAAAAATTATATCCCTCTTATCACTCTCTAAGCTACGTTCCGTCTTTTAAGCTTTTAACCACACCCATAGAAACTTTAAATATAAATACAACTCATTGAAGGTACTCATATTTATTGTACAAATTCATTAGATTTATTAATGTCACTTTTATAAAAAATTATAGATTTTCTTACTGGAATTTAACAACGTGCGATATGAATTATCTCAGAACGCGGTAACCGCTTTAATTTTTACATTTACTCGTGATTTTTTTACACAATATTTAAATGTTTTAGTTTTAC